ACGAAAAAGAGATTGCAAGATATCGGGAAAAAGTATGTTAAAGATAAAAAAACAAAAAAAAAAAAGAGAAACAAGAAAAAAAGTAGAACGGAAAAGTAGAAGAGCAGAATGATCGTTACAATCCACGACGGTAAAATCTCCTTTAAATTTCATTTTACGAATAAACGTTCCTTTAAAACGTAAAAACAATTCGAAAGGAAATCTTCTAAAAGATAGAGAAAATACTTTTAGTATTATTCGAAATCGGATTGTCCGAGTTAAAGTTAAGAAAAAGGGTCTGTAATAGTCAGTAACTCGAACACGCAGACGTACTCGTATAAGGGAGCGTAATCGTATCGAAGAGAAGAAGAGCATCTATAGTCAAGTTTTATCGCGTTCAGTTTAGGAAGGATAGCTCTTCAAACGTTGACACCCCCTGTCTTGAGATGAAAGAGCCTTTGACGTTTCGATAAATCGTCGCGAGTTTTTCGATTAGATCGCCGTCCAGTAAGTTCGGTTAGACGTCACTAGATCAGGCAATCTCCAAAAAGGGAGACAGAAAAGGTGGGAGTTTCGGGGAGGAGTTGATATAGAAAGATAGATAGAGAGAGAGAGAGAGAGAAAGAGAGAGAGAGAGAGAGAGAGAGAGAGAGAGAGAGAGAGAGAGAGAGAGAGACAGTATAGTAGAGATAAAGTCTTCTCTTCTTACGTGTGGCATCTACAGCATCAATTTCGGTCCAGTGATATACGAGCGAATATTATCCGGCAGGGACACGACAGTCTCTTGAAGGCAGTGGAGAAGCTCAACGTATGCAGAGCCTCATCGATTTCCAGCCGTTTTGAGAGCACGGCTCGACAGCTGGCAATTTTTCCAAGAAGACGTGCATTTGCATCTTTACGACTTTTGACGAGCGTCTCTACCTTGTCTTCTTCCTCTTTCTCTTCTTCTTCGTCGTTCTCTTCGTCTTCTTTTTTTTTCTTTTTCTTCCTTTTTATCCCACCCTTGCTTTCACTTTTTTTTCTTTTTTTTTTCTTTTTCTTTTGTCTTTCCTTTTAACATGTGTGTTTACTTCGTCTTCTTTTAAATATCATTATCCTTTTTCTTCGCAATTCCATATTGACTGTTATATCGTACAATTTTATCATAATGTCTTATTACTTTGTCACTGACATATATATATATATATATGTATTACTATTACATCGCTGAATTTTTGCAATCATCATTCGTTATCGCATTGTTGCGTACTTTGCGATGTATATATATATATATTTTCTTTTTTATATCCATATATATAAATTATAAAATGAATATAAAGTATAAAGAAGGATTAATAATATGAAAATCAATTATCGAATGTTTTACTTTTCTCTATTTTGTTCTTTTTTCTTTCTTTCTTTCTTTCTTTCTTTCTGTGTTTCATTTTTTCTTTTTTCTCTTTTTTTTTTTTTGCTAATCGAAAGCGGAGAAAGAAAAAGAGCATAATCGATTGGAAAAGAAGGGATTAAACCATTTCCAATTGATATACTTTCCAAAAAAAAAAAAAAAAAAGAAAAAAAAAAAAAAATTCTTTACGCGTAATTTCGAACGTTGAAGTAAATCTCTCATTAATTCCATTGGGTTCAGTCAATTCGTGCATTATTGTAAAATTCAAATAATCGAGATCACGTTGTAGTGTGCCCGGATCATCGAATAATTCGATATTTTTCGGTGACTCTGAGAGCGTCCTAACGCGTTGGTCGATCGGCCAGAACCATATTTACTATGTCGTTAATTTTAAAGCTCACGACCACACTGCGAGAGAGTATATATAGGATGAGGATGGAGGAGGAGAGCCGTCCAATAGAATGACAATAATTTACGACGAAAATAAAGGTTAGAGAGATGCCCGGATGGCGTATGTACATACACATATACGCATGCGCGCACACACATACACATACACATACACATTCTCTCTCTCTCTCTCTCTCTTTCAATGTAGTTTTGTTGATTCGTGTTCGTATTCGTCGTTCTGTTGCCTCGTGGAAACATCTATTCGCGAATAGCCCCATAAAGACGATCTTTTGCCAACGGTTATGACGTTATTGCGTAACCGCGAGCTCACAAGGAACGACACGCTTCGATGATTCGTGTTTTTGGATTTAATGCCAGCACAAAAGGGACTTTGTGCATTATAAATCTCTTTATTGTCTTTATTCCATATATCGTTCGATATTTAAACGAACGTCGATTTAATTATTTCTCGTTTCTTTTTTTTCTTCTTCTCCAATTCGATTACTTTAGTATTTTATTCACTTACACACACATATATCCATCTCAAATACGAACGCTTTTATCTAATGAAATTATTCGTGATACTTTTACGATACATCTTTTTTTTTTTTTTACATCGGTCATACTTCGCTTTACATTTTCTTTTCTTTTTTTCTTTCTTTACATTTTTTAAAGGATAAGAAAGGAGAGGAAGGAGATTCAGAAAAAAGAAAAGGAAAAAAGGAAGAAAGAGAGAATAATTCAAAGTAAATCACACGTACGTTTTAAAGTGGACTAATCGACTGACGTAAAAAAAAAAAGAAAAGAAGACAAAGAAAAAGATAAAAGAAGAAAATATGAAGAACATAACGTCACGTGGAGATTTTTGATTTAATCGCCGACTTGAATCTAATAATGTATAAAACGTTTGCCGGTTATCGTTACATCCTATGATCTTCGTAACTGAATGGGAAATACAAAGAGAGCTATGAGTATCACTAACTATGCATTCTATGCTCGTAAAATGTTCGTCCACCTGCGTTATTACGAGCTATTGCCCGATGCATTTTTCCTCGCTCGCTCCCGTACCGTCCGCGAATCCTTTTGAAATTCGCAAGCGACCTATTAAAGGGTTGCGTAATTTCTCGGCCTGACGCGATCCAATTAAAGTAATGAACAGGCAAACTGAACTACCGAATATCAGGGCTGCGTTATTCGCATTGTTCTCTGTATAGCCAGTACAGTAGGGAACAATGATTACATTCGACGACGGTGATAAGAGAAAATTGAAAACGTATACACACTCGCACAAACAAACACACATATGTATATGTATATACATATATATATATATATATATATATATATATATATATATATATACATATATGTATGTACATATATTAACAAAAAAAGAAAAAAATAAAATAAAAAGGATTAGTAACAATTAATCGATAAGCTTCGTACGATTTAATTGGTTTTCTCGTCGTAAAACGAGAGATCATAGAGGAAAATTCACAAAAACAATTCAAAATGAGAATTATCGAAAAATTTGGAAATAATTCATCTATATTTTGTGACATCGATTTTATCTTTATTCCTTTTTTATCTGACAGCAATATTATCACCAGAAATGTATCACGGTTTGTTTCGGACTGTACCTGGCGTAACGTGAGATAGTAAAATCATGTATAACATAGATACTCACTAGCACAAAAGTATAGTTGACTATGTATACGCGCGTTACGTTTATTAACGCGGAGGAGAGAGAAAGAGAGAGAGAATGAGCGAGTGCGACTCGAAAACGTGTTGGCCTCGTCGGTAGTTCTGTAATCATACCGAATGAGATTCGACGGCAGCTCGGGTATCATGCGTGCGAAACTTTTAATTGCACTAGAGATTCTACATATATACATACATACATACATACGTATATTAATATATACATACATATATACATATATATATATATATATATATATATATATATCGTTTAAGCTCGAGACCTGATTATGCGTCTCGTTTAATTCGATCCTTTCTCACGAACGAGATTAATCGTAAAAAGGATTTCCAAGTTCGCGTGCCAATGTGCTCTTTTTTTATCCCTAATCTCTATCTTTCTCTTATCTTCGTTGAAAAAAGCTTTTAAAACTCCGTTAAAGCTTTTTATCGAACCCCATAGATAATCACTTGTAATTTGCGCACTGCCTTTTACATTATACATATTCGTCATTTTGGGAAAGAAATATTATTCGTATTAATTTTATTTCAATTATATAACGTGAAAACGTTGACACTATTTAATTAAATTCGATTTATTTCAAATTTTCTAACAAAATTTTCAACTATTACGAACGTAACGTAAAGTTAAAGAGAAAAATTTAATCCCGTTTAAATCTTGTTAATTATAATAGTCATTCATAACTGGTAATAAACTGTCCTTCGAATAGATATTACGCATTCGGTAGATCGTTGAATTTCATGTAGAAAAGTCTAAAGGGAATTTTCGTGGCTGCCCACGAAATGGGATACTCTGGAGACTATATTCGTTCCATTCCGGTTGCTATCATTTTACCAAAATCGTATACGAGAAAGAGCAACAGAAACAGAGAAAGAACGAGAGAGACAGACAGACAGACAGAGAGAGAGAGAGAGAGAGAGACAGATAGAGAGAGAACTTAATCGCTCGGCGATTATGTGCTCGATAAATCGCCCGTAATTTAGTTTAAGCACTCTATACCATTATGTACATCCTGAATATAGAGCTACCAAGTTCCTGGATTATCTCAACAATTGAGACCTCTCTCTTATGAACTATCTACAATATACTCGTACATAATATATATATATATATATATATATATATATATACTTGTGCACCTTATCGGTTGCACATTTGTATATACTTGATCTATTGATGATTGTAATTGAACAGGGGGGAAAAAAAAATTAACAAAATTAAAATAAAAGAAATCGAATGAATTGTAATAGAAAAAAAAACAAAAAGAAAAAAAAATAATTATAATAGGATAAATCATAGATTGAATTATACTTGAATGATATTGTCATCGAAAAAAAAAAAAATAAAAGAAATATATTCGTAAACGATTGAATAATTATAATTGAATTTATATTCGAAATATTATATATTGTATGTGAATTCCTGTAATAGTTTCGAATATATTATATTAATAAGCAATTTATATAAGAGAAGAATATATATGTATATAGGTAACGATTTAATCGATTTACATGCCGTTTTCAGATAATGGGCAAGTGGTATGTCGTCGAAATTCTGGAACATAAGAGCGATCCGATAAAACACACGAACGGTAAACACGTAGTTCTCGATTCCTGTCCAACCGTTCATCTACGCTCGCACGAATATTCCTCGCTGACACTTCTCTGGACGGAGGCTGTTGGAAACTTGGAATATACGTTTCAGATATCTGACATAACCAGGAGACCTGGATTCTGGATGTCATCTACTCTACAAAATGGTATTTTTCTTTTATATGTATATTTTATATGCGTATATATATATATATATATATATTTACTTATTTGTTTATATATATATATATATATAGATACATTATTTGTAACAAAAACGAAAAAAAGTAATTTTAAGCGTAATATCTATATAAATTTATTCTAATGAACGTTAAATAATTTTAAGATCGGAATTCTCACGAAAATTTACAATGTTTTTTTTCTTCTTTTTTTCTAGCCTCATTTCCCTCTCTCTCTCTCTCTCTCTCTCTCTCTCTCTCTCTCTCTCTTTCTCTATCTATCTATCTCTCTTTCTTCTGTTTTTTCTTTTTTTTTTTTTTTTTTAAATTTGGTCATTCCAACGTGTATATAAATGGAAAATAAATAGAAGAAGAAAACCAATTCAGGAAATAAAGAACCTCAATGGGAAAACACGTAACCCCGATGGGTTTGGATCAGACGAGAAAGAGAAATTTACTTTACTGTTTGATAGATTCCGTCTTTTTGAAGTCTCTGTTTTGATAGGAAACAACAGAGCTCGCTCGACGAACCAACTTCCAATGGAAAAGCAAAGTTCTTTTGAAAACGATTATCGTAAGCTGCCAGATAACCGATCGCATAAACTTCTCAATGCACATTTTGGAGGCCTCTCTCTCTCGAGGAGAAGTTTTCGAAACTGTTTGAGGAATAAATTGGATTAACCAACCGACCAAGCTTCCACTATAAAGTTACCATAAAGCCACCACGAAGTTACTTTATCTTCGGGATTATAAGGGCCAGCCATTAAAAAAATGAAGATCTACTTTTCGCCATAACACATTTTAATTTTTCCTTCTTCATGGACATTCTCGAAATTCGAAATGATTTTATAAGGAGCTTTACGAGCTTACGTCTTTTAAAATAACAGAAACACGATTGAATATGATTTTAATTTTTCTTTTCTTCTTCTTCTTCTTCTTCTTCTTCTTCTTCTTCTTCTTCTTCTTCTTCTAATAAATAGAAATCTTCCAAAGGGATGAAACAATTTTTCCAATGATCATAAAATAATTTTAATATTTCATTACTCGTGCGATGATCGAAACTATCAACAATTTGTCATAGAGTTTCAATCGAGCGAAATAATAAATCGCATTAATTTCGTAAAAAGTGATTTAATAAAAATACGATATACGTTATAAAATTACGCGACATTTATTTTTCTCGTGAATGTTGTAAAAAAATGAGGGAGATAGATAGAAACGATAAAATTGATAGATTGTTAAATTATATCGAGATAAGAGAAAAGTTAATTAAGAACGTATCATTGGATCGTTTGATATTCATTTAATCTAACAACTACCCGAAAAAATAGCTGTGGAAAGTAAAAATCGTTAGATTTGAAAATTGATTTTTTGAATCAGTTGAAATGATTTATTGGCACTAGTTCGATTAAAATCAAATTTTTGTTAGAGTTTTATTTTCTCCTTTTCCTTATCTTCTCTCTCTCTCTCTCTCTTTCTCTCTTTCTCTTTTTCTCTCTTTCTCTCTATTATCCACGATTTTTTAAGTAGCAGCTAACTCTTCGATTAAAAGAATGTCACGTCTGAGGTATTTGCTCGATTGTAAAAAGAAATGACAGATCGTCAATATTGTTTACAATTAAAAAGGATACGAGTTACCAAATATCTAAAAAAAAAAAAAAAAAAAAAAAAAAGAAAAAAGAGAGAAAAGAAAAATAAAATCGAAAATATTCGAGAAATAATTTCCTTTACTAGAAATTTTTTGTAACGTCACATCGAACGAATTCTATCATCGAAACGAGAGTCAGAATATTTACAATTTAAATATTTTTTGATATCGATTAAACTATCCGATATTCCCTATAGGTAGGTTTATATGAAAAGTTTCGTTCATTTCAAGTCAACGAATTTGCAACGTTCTCATTTTGCCATCCGTACGAGCTCAAAATTAGTTTTTTCATATCCTCGTTTTAAAAGACTGTCCTCTCGCGGACAACATCGTATTCACATTTGTTACCATTCTCTATCTCATCTCTATCTCATCTCTCTTTCTCTCTCTCTCTCTCTCTCTCTCTCTCTCTTTCTCTCTCTCTCTCTCTTTTCCTTTCATTTACAATGTTGGAATAACCAATTACGACAGCTATCGAATGACATGGGACATCACCAAAAAGGAAAAAATTCATAGAAAACTCGCTAACACGAAGAACCGAGATGAAAAGCGTTCATGTATTTCTCTCTCTTTTTTTTTTTTCCTTCTAAATCTCTCTCTTTCTCTCTTTCTTTTTTCTCATAGTCGTACGAAATCGTAAAATATGATATTTCTTGTCAATAACTCATGATTTCTCGTACTATAATAAGCGTAGATAACGTTTGATAGTAAACGTACATAGATAGAGCAAATAAATTTCTTATTGTCAGATATTCGATTCAAATTGTTGAAGCGATAAATTAACGAGTTCGTTGTGTAGAATTGGAACACGTAACTCTAATGCACAATCACGTTGCTCGGAACGTTTGGAATTCGTTGATCTCCCCGAAGAGATGCCGTTTTACGGACTTACGAGAGTGAAAAAATGGAGGAGTAGTTCTTCCTCTCGGTAAATTCTTTGGGTTCGTTCGCAAATATCTCATCAGAATGCAGGGTCTGTTGGTTTGTACTAGAGAGAGAGAAAAAAAAATGAAAAAAAAGGAAGAAAAAGAAATAAAAAAAAAAAAAAGAAAGAAAGAAAGAAAGAAGGATAGTGAGAGAGATAGGAAAGAGAAAAAAAAAAAAAATAATGAAAGGATTGGCGGACGAGTTTGCTACGTTTTCGACGATGAAAATCGTTATTTTTGTGGGGGTCGCGAAACGTGACGTAAATTTTTACACTCGCCTTCGTCCCTGGTCAGCACTTGGTGATAACCAATGAGAAAGGAAAGTTCAGCAGGTAGAAATGAAATCTGTGCACAGTTTTTTTTTAACGATCTCCACTAGGACGCATCATTATCTAATTTTTATCAGTAGTCTAGTTCGTTAGAAAGAAAGGAAAATTGTATTATATTCGAGACTTGGACTTATTGTTCGAATTTTTAATGAATTCTTTAATTTTTCTTCGTTCTTTTTTCTATTTTTTTTTTCTTTTTTTTTTTCTTTTTTTTATTCCTACCGAATCATCCACGTTTATCTATCATGAACGCGTGAAATATTTGAAAAAATAATATTATCACGTTTTATAAATAAATCGATTATTATCAATGGTGTGGGAGTTCTCGTTACTTATGTTTCACGTCAAAACGATCGGGAAAACGATTAGATTAACAAATGATATGAACACGTATCTCGTATTATGTATCATTATGTCGTTAGATAACTATTTAGCTTTTGATTAGAAATTACATGTCGCTGCTTTGCAGACATGTTACATATATACGTTAACACGTCAGAAATGTAAACTTTAATTTACTTTTAAACGATCACATTTCTACGCAGTCCAGTATGAGAAACTCAATGCATGTGACGTTTCCATGATCGCTCTTACAAATGTCGACGATCCCTACTGAATCTGACATTTCATTGAAAACACTTTTCACCGATCGAGCAGTTAACGGCACGTAAAAAATTTCACATCCCTTGCCTTTTATCTCTTTCATCTGTCGGTGACAACTAGGATGCAATAATGATTACCATTGCATGAGAAAAAAAGAAAAAAGAAAAAAAAAAGGAACGAAAATGACGTTATCTATATAATATCCCTGGTGGAAACGACAGTGTCGATTATTATTTCGCTTTTGTCTCGTTGAAATACATGTATATGTACATACATACATACGTATACATACATACACATACGTACATACATACCATATGTATACGTAGGATATATACATATTGACGAATCCATGATGTAAGAATAATAGACGAGAGAAAAAAGAAAAAGGAAAAAAAATGTTATGTCAACATCAGCATCCTAATCTCATCGATATTTTTCTTTCGTAGGAACGTTGACAGAAAAGAAATACCAACAATTCATTGGTTGCGTTCACGTGATGAAAGCTGTGGCCTCGGACATGGTGTTGACCTTCTGCTCGCGAAGCCCAGGAAGTCAACTTTATTCCTTGCTACTCTCTCGGGAACACACGCTTGGTCAGGCAGACAGACGAGGCGTTCACAATCTTCTTGGCCGACGTGGTCTCAAGATTCTAGGAATTCGTGAGACCTGCATGAACGGTGCAGCTGGATGGAGAAGAGCTACGATTGACCTCGTTGCCTCTACGACCCTTTTTGCTCTTCTATCCTCCGTGATTCTCTCAAGATCCACGCAGTAAAACTTTTGATATGACCACACGACTACTCCGCGATTTCTCGAAGAGCCCTTTCGAAGAGTACTTCTCTCGTACTCTTTGAGTCACGTAGATCTCGCGGATAACTTCGCTCACTTCCTGACAAAACGCGTTTCGCAATTTATCATTATATCGACGCTGCCCTCTCTCTCCCTCTCTCTCTCTCTCTCTCAATTTCAATCGATTCACTCGAATACCGTTAAAATTAGTTGAAAAATTTGTTTTTGAAACAGATGACAAAGAAGAAAGGGACAAAGCGTTTCAATATCAATGATATCGATATCGATCGATAATAGTACGAACATTGTTACTTATCCATGAGAGAAATTTCAACGATATTTCTGTGAATTGATTCAAATGAGAGACATATCCAATATATATATGTATATATATATATATATATACACACATATATATATATATCGATATATATACATATATACATATGAATATATATATATATATATATAGATATCACATCTTTCATTCATCGTTTACTTCGTTTTTAAATAGTATCAAAGACTCGTTCATAAGAAGATATTTCGCATAAAGATATCGTTTTGAAGAGAGAGAGAGAAAATAGAAAAATAAAGAAATTGAAAAAAAAAACTTTTAAAAAAATTAATAATAATAATAATAGTAATAATAATAATAATAATAATAATAATAATAATAATAATAATAATAATAATAATAATAATAAATAGAAAAAAATTCACGTTGAAAGGTCGGACTTCAAAACTTTGGTTTAAGTAACACGACAATATCGATTTACAAAATGATCCAATTCAATTTCGATTTTTCAATGAGTACGACTCTTCAATGTAGATATCTTACTATCTTTGAAATAGCAGTAATAGGACAAATTTTCAGAGATGATCCGAGTTTATTCTACTCGTAAATTTAACAATCGAAATTATTCGAAAAAGGCTAAGAGAGGCATAATGGCATGGCTTAATGTTAAATGCCAATTGGGCTTTTTTACGCGACCACGCGAATTTTAATCATCGATAAAGTAAAGTTCGAGTTTAATAATATTCACATCTACATCGCTATGCGTCGCAATTTTTTTCTGATATAAATATATAAATAATTAAATAACTCAATTGTTCTATTCTCAAAGTGTCAGCTGCTTATCGCATACATAGACATGCCAGGGTGTGTCTATTAAGGGAGAAAAGTGAACTGTTGATTTTTTAAGATTCATTGATAGATCATTAATCTTGTTTATCTTTCTCTTTTTTCTTTTTTTCTTTCTTTCTTTCGAATGATCATTTAAAATCGATCATCGATCTCGTCGTTCGTAGCTCATCTCGATGTTAACGACCGACAATATTTTAGCTAGATCCTTAATATGTATAAAACGACGTATGCAGTTAATTGTTGATTCGAATTGTAATCTATGCAAAAGAAAAAAGAAAAAAAAAAAAAAAGAAAAAAAATAATCGCGAGAGACTACGTGACGTTGTGTTTTAAAAAATGCTCTAGAGTCTTTATTTATTGTACAGAACGCTGGATATTCGATGGTGTATGTATATACATATATATACATATATATATATATATATATATACACCATCATACAGTATATATATATATATATTTATTTATATATATATATATTTATATATATATACATACATACATACATATACATATATATATATATATATATATATATATATATATATATATTACGTGTATGTAAATGATCTAGTACCTAATACGATGTAATCGTATGCTTATTATATGTATAAATATGAAAAAAAAAAGGATAATAAAAACTGGAAGCCGACATGTTTTTTGCTCGAAGAATCTTTTTTTTTTTTTGTTCAATGATCGACAGAACGGAGAGAGATGATTCATCGATATGTAGGTATATGTACGAGTATGTATGTGTACCTGTGTTTGTGTGCGCGCGCGCGCGCGCGTATCAACCGATTAACTCAAATCCATTGCAACAGAATAGTTCGAAGGCGATCGATTGATCTTTTTTTCTCTCCCTTTTTTTTCTTCTTTTTTTTTTCTTTTTTTTTTCAAAGATACCTCTACATTTAACGCGAAAACTCTCTTGGCAAAGATACGTATGTACATATAGTACGTGCACACAAGGTTATCGAGGAGAACACGAGTGTTAAAAGGGTGTGTAAGCGTGATGACACGGAGAAAAGAGGGTCATACACGGGTAAAGAGGATCATCCTCTATCAATCTCACTCTCGGCTAACTCGAAAGCGAAATGCCTGGAGAAATCGTAAAGGCGATCGCATGAGAAAAGATGAGAAGAGGGCTGGATTGACTTCGGTGGGGATAGAAAAGAATAAGAGGGCAGGGGGGGAATGGAATATAAAGGCACGGAAGAGGAATTCGATAAAGAAAGAAAGAGAGAGAAAGAGAGAGAGAGAACTCGAAAGAATAAGTCGAAACTCATCGAAGAAGAATTGGTAAGCTTGCTTGAATGAAAAGGAGAAAGAAAGAGATAGTGCGATTGGTGCTCAGTCGGCTCGTAAAAGGAAGAATGAAAGAGTCTGGAGGGTCCGATAATTAAGGTTAATTCCACCATTAACTTCAGCATCGGCTTGGTTGTTGGCTCGGTAGTCGTTCAAGCTGACGCCTACCGATCGTCGTTGCAAACTGAATTTTCATCTCTTTCTACCCACACTTTTCTCCTTTCTCCAATTCTCTCCTCTCTCTCTCTCTCTCTCTCTCTCTCTCTTTCTCTATCTATCTCTATCTCTATCTCTATCTCTTTTCTTCTTCTTTCTCCCTCTTCCGCTTTCTCTTCTTTTCTCTTATCTTCTTCAACCTTCTCATCTCTTTCAGCTATCCCACTTTCTTTCAAAGATCATGTTGATTTCTTATAGCTCTTCTTCGTAGCTTTTACGAGAGAGAGGGAGAGAGAGAGAGAGAGAGAGAAAGGGGGGAAAGGGTGAGGGAGCAGATAAAACGTATGAAGTCTAACAGTCTGGGCAAGTATAATCGGTTTATTTTTTGGAAAGTTCATAACGAACCTTTCCCGATAATGAATCCTTTGATTTTTCACAGTAAATATGAATTTTCTACGTGGATATGTGTAAGTCGTTAATGAATAAGATCGAAAGAAATCTGAAGAGCTCGTTAAATTTCTTTCCTCGAGCCAAAAGGGAAATTCTGTGACTTGGGGTTTTCCGGTATCGACCGGAAATAAAAAATATTTCCACTGGGAAAGTTTATCGATCCTTAAACTTTACTCTTTCTCTCTTTCTTTCTCTCTCTCTCTCTCTCTCTCTCTCTCTCTCTCTCTTTCTTTCTTTCTCTTTTTATTTCTCTCTCTCTCTCTCTCTTTTTCTCTCTCTGTTTTTCTCTCTCTTTTCATTGGATGGGATAAATTAAGAGAATGTAAAATTATGCCGCGTGAATTCGCAAAGGCAAAGGGTTATATGTAGGGAGAATAGGACGAATATATATATATATAGAAAGGTTTATTCCCGGGACAATATCTACTTTAATTCCCTACTGATTATCAACTTTGTAAAATAATAGACCGATTATTTCATCGTAGCGATTAGCATTTTAATTGTCGCGTAGGTGTATCATTCATATAGAAGGAAAAGGAAGAGGAATTTTCAACCTTTCAAAGGGGAGGGCTGCGGCACAAACAAGTGAATTAATAAATTAGTTAATCGTCCAGCCGTATAGTTATGTCGCCTAATTCTAACTCAGGAAACATGAGAGATAATGAGATAGAAAGATTAGAAGGATAGAAGTTGACGAAGATATGTTAGTAGATATTTTATGTATACGTATATGTATATGCAATGATGAATCATATCATTTTTTGTTTTCATTATTTAATTATCATTTTCGAATGTGAAATTTTTTTAAATTATTCAATTATTATTAGATTATCACAATAATATATATAATACTATTATAGATATATATATATATATATATATATATATATATATATATATATATATATATACTAATGATATCATTTTTAATGTAATAGAAATATCTTATTTTATTCATATTTAAAAATAGAAACGATTTGTAACCTATTACGTGACTCACACTATATATGTATAGATATACATATATAAGTACACGTGTACGTACATATATATATTCAAACATACATTGCTCGATTTTACCGCTTTACGCGACTCTCACGACGGCTTTACGGGACATACGTGCGAGGAATAAGAATTACATTCAATTACGTGCGACATCTAACGCTCGCGTCCGGTTGCATAAACTTCGGCTTGCTCCTAAACTCGTGGGCACACGGTATGTTTCCTCTATCCCTGCTCCCACGGGATACGTTCTTTCCTGTTATCAAAAAGGACCTCACGAATTCGTTTATACGGATCTCCACTTGGGAATTTCCATTTGGCGAAATTTCGATTCATCGAACGTTCAACGAGAAATCATTCAAGATATCTTTATCCGCATTCTTTATTGCATTTTTATATGAACGTATATTGCACGACGAGATATATTCGTGGGGAAAAAAAAAAAATAAAAAAATAAAAAAATAAAAAAATAAAAAAAAAATAAAAAAAAAATAAAAAAAAAAAAGAAAACGTATCTATAATAATAATTCTTTCTTTCATTTGATACAGATATAGATACGTACATATACATATTTACGTATAAGAAAACTAATAAAATTTCTTTGATAGAAATTAATGCTATCTCATCTTCCCTTTCTTATTCTTCCCGTCCGTAACTTCTTCATTTATTCGTCTTTTCAACTTTAATATTCTCTTAGCGTAACATTATCGAAGTGAAATTATACTTTCATATCGAACTATCGACCATCGAACTTTTCCTACTTTTTGTCGTTTAACAAATATCTAAACGTAGAAAGGAAATTTGATTAGAAAGAAAAGAAGTAAAAAATATTGATAATAAAGAGAATTGAATTTTCATGGTGTATTGAATTCCATCGAATTGTATGATACGATAATAAGATGACACGAAGACAAGATTCTCGTTTCTTCTTTTTCTTTCTTTATTTCTTTTTTCCTTTTCTTTTTTTCTTTTTTCTTTTTAATACAGACAAACAGAATAAAAAAAGAGAAAGGAAAGAAAAGGAAAAAAATGTGAAACTGCATATCGCGAATAACCTAACATATGGATATTTATCTCTCGGTTGAAAATCGGTCGCGAGCGGGTAAATGAACGGAAAGATAATCGACCATTCGTGCAAAATTTGTGGAGGCGTGATGCTCGTCTGATCGTGAACAATTCTGTCACGCACCACTGAAGCGCTTGTTCCTTTCAGTAAGGGGTTCGTCGATAATGCTCGTAAACAACACAATGTAACGATCTACAATGTATATATATATATATATATATATATATATATATATATATATATATATATATATATGCAAGAGAGAACAGTCCTTTACCTACATTTCCCTTCTATTTTTAATTTGGATTTCTGTGTACGTGCAACAACAACAAAAAGTCCTTTCCAACGTGTGTGGATAAAAAGTCATGAAAAAAAAAAAGAAAAAAAAACGAAAAAAAAATAAAAGAAAGAGAGAGAGAGAGAGAGAGAGAGAGAGAGAAATTGAAAAGAGAGGAGAGGTGTCGAATATCGATATCGGTATCGATAAGTGCCCGATACTTGAAGAGAATAATAATCGAATATTGGCAAGTATCGATACTATCGAATTTTTCAAATTTAATCATTCTCGTTGTAGGTTCACTATAGAAGGGACAATATCTTTACCGCTTTAAGAATTTTCAACGAATTCAAAAGTTGATTAAATTTGGTACACGAGCATTCGTTATTATCGGCCGATGCCATTCGCTCGAATTTTGTTCCCTCGAGTGAACGGGAGAAGCTTCATAGAGTATCTGCCTGGGAAAGGATTTAGGTCGAAGGTCGAGAAAAAGTTGGCGGAAAAATGGCTTTTCCAATATCGGAACCAGCCTGTCCCTACTCCTCCTCCTCCTTCTCCTCCACCTTTTTCTATCCTCTTTTTCTCTCTCTCTCTCTCTCTTTCTCTCTCTCTCTCTCTCTCTCTCTTTCTCTCTCTCTCTCTCTGCTTCTTTGCATACGCGTAATCTCTTGCCTAAAGTGTTTATAATTTACGGAAGTACTTCTAGATAGCATGTTCGAGTTCGAAATTCGTAGAGAATAAAAGGGACCTGGATGAACTGAAAGAGGGGGAGGGGGCGTGTCCGTACGACGTGTGAAAGAAGTGTGCAAAAAAAAAAAAAGAAAAAGA